AACGCCCCCACGGCCGAAAGGGCAAGCATGTTTGTTGGAATTCAGATTCGAACCCGCGATCCGCAGATTGCGAGTCCAGCGCCCTAAACGCCTGGCCATGCCGGGCCATTAGAGAACGTGCAAGTCACGTTGCGCTATCGAATTACACTACCCACGAGTTACTAGGAGCTGCTTGCGTGCGTACCTCGTGAACCATTTTAATTATATTATTATTATAACTTACTTTACCTAATCTAGTCTTAAATAACTTCGATTATTTTTAGATTTTAGTTATTTTTATAATAATAAATAAAAAATAAATATGAAAAACAAAAATAAAGTACTTACACAATCTTCATTTTTCTTGCTCTCGGTTGTCGATGACAGTTAAGTCTATTTTTTATAGTACTAGTAGTAATGCAGTTAATAATTTTTATTTAATTAAATAATGCACCAAAGAATATAGAATAATAACATTCCAAAAGTACACAAATTCCCTTACCTCTCAAAATATTTCTGGTTTTCTGACTATGTGACAAGAGCTGTTACAAATTCATCCAAGCTAGTCGTTAACTTTCCCACGGGAACAAAGCTTGTACTGTGAGCGAAGTTCACACTTTCCTGTTGAGAACACAACGTTGTGCAAACGTCATTTGATAGATGAAAACCTTTACTTTCTATTGATTATAAGTAATATATATAATAAAGCATATAAGAGAACTATCAACCAATTATGAAAGAGAGGATGTGGCAGGTGGGTGTGGCAAGAGGGGTCTGATTTTCAAATGGATAGCTCTGTAACCAAACAAAATTGAAAACTATAAAATCATATTTTGTCCGAGCAATAACGATTTTATAAAGAGTAATTTACGTTTAATTTCGTACTTTTTCGAGAGGTGATGGATAAAATAGGGATGATGACATGCTAAGAGAAAATGTGTCACGTGGATCACGCTAGTGGAAATTCAGGATTTTTTTTTATATTGCCTTGTAGAATTAAGTACTTAAAACTTCTATACTATTAAAATGTGAATTGTTAGCTAAGATTTTATGCTATTCTAATTGGTATAGCATAAACAAATGGTAGTATAATACAATTTTGAATGTAAGATACTAAAGCCTTGTGTCATGCCCGGGGTTATATGATTTATACCTCGAAAGCCTGCAGAAATACCGCTAAGTCACTTTGGGGCAAATAAATAATATTGTGTTATTAATCTTTATCCTAGAGGCGATTTAAAATGAATAGAAATAACACTTCATCAACGTATTCTTTATTCCCACAATAACAGTTATTATTCATCCAGTTAAATAGTGTCTCAAGCACTACTGGGTGTGCTAATCCAGCAGGCTTGATCAGATCTGGTGTTACAGGAACGGCTTCGTCGGCACTGGATAAGGCAGACATAGCATGATCGACATATTGTTAAACATTCTTCATTATTTTCACTCATAAAAGCAAAACAAACAAAGAACAAGTAATTGAAGCCCGAACCCTATTTATTTATGTAAATTAACCGACCAGTTTTACTTGCGTCATTCTTCGAAAAATCAAGAATTGTATGTGAAATTTAATAATATACATGATTAACAGACTAAACGTGTGTGCATTGAATTTTATCAATCAAGAGTAATAAACTAACTGAAGAGTAGCCACTGAAGCTACGAAAACAGCAAAAAGTTGAAGAAAAATAGTTTTACATTTTATTCTATAGTAGCGAAAGTACCCGGCTTCGCTCGGGTTATTAGGTTGATTTATTCTAGATGACTATGTCAGTGTGTGTGTGTGTGTGTATTCTGAACCCATTTTAGCATAAGAGTATGACCTATATACTTCTGTTGCTCCTTTATAGGATGTGGCTTCTTTATGCAGTAACCCTCCCTCTGACTTGTCCTCAAATTTAAACTTAAATAACCAAAAATAAAAAACAAACCTCTAATTAACGGATCTTCTAAAATATATTTTTTTTTTCAATTTTGTAGTTTATACATTTCATTTTACACCTTCAGCACATAGCCTCTTAACAACAATATTAGGTTATACTTTTATTTCTGAGGAACATGATATAAAAGCCATTGCTGGAATGCATTGTTACCAAAACACACTGGCCTTTCTACATATTAGAAGTTATTATATAAGGAACCACTTCTTTTCTACGTGGTTTTTCGTTAGCTTGCCTCATTAAAAAGATGCGCATGCACACACGCACTTGAATAAGATAAGTAATAATACCCAGGTGCACACCCTCAGGGTCAACGTAGTATGGGTGCAAAATTTCAGACTTCTAGGTTATTTTCTCTTGGAGCTATGGCTGTCACATACACAGACATGCCTTTTTATTATTATAGATACAGTTGTATAAGTCCTATTCCCTTCAAATGAATTGTAAAATAATAAAACACAAAATTGGTTTAGTTCTTCATATTTTTTCTTCCAATTTCATAATTTCTTTGGTTGCTATTCAGATTCAGTTGTTCAATAAGACTAAATATTTACGTTAAATTAATACAAAATTTACCTAAAAAACTAAAAATATATAGATACATATAAAATGCTTAATAAAAGAAACATGTAAATAGTCCAAACTGCACCTAAACTCTATACATGTTTAAAACAAAAGGTATATTTGGCACAAATGTGATTTTACAACTTAAGTTATGGAATACTAATCCTATCTTAAATGATATTAATGCAAACTGATATTAATACAAAATAAAATCCCTTTAATACAAATTGCATTCAGGTTAATGACGCTTTAAGTAGATTGGTACAGAGGTTGAGTATGTTATGTTAAAATGATTTTGAAGACTCACAGTCCATGTCACCACGTTCAGTCATGCTCTAACTAATGGCTGTAAATCTTGACTGAGTATTACTGTTTCCCAGGTCTGTTTCAACAGTCTGATGGCACTTTTCCCCAAAACATACATGGGATAACCCCGTCTATATCCTCGATCTGAAGAAGTTTAGATACAAGACTTGCAGAATATATAAAAGATGTTAAAAATAAGTCTAACAAATGATGCTGATTTTCTTTCTGCACGTGAGTAATTTGGCTCGTCAAATCAACTGGGAATCAGCCAAAATAATACATAAGACTAGAACTTATGTAAAAAAAAAGAGTTGTGGAAAGTTTTCTTGCCTAAAATTTGCCAAAATTCAACACTTATCAAAGTAACTTTAAGCTGACGTCTTGTTCCCCTGAAGCAACTTGAAAATTTTCTTACAAGTTACACTATGCGCGTGTTTCTTTCACGAACAAAAGCTATTCTGGGGAGAACACGTGGAAATGTCGAAGCCTATTGTTTCGTCATAGTTGATCCTCAATTCTTAACGTTATTTTATAGTTTAATTCTCTTAGCACGACCTGCGTCAATGAATAGAACTTCCGTCTAAAATTATATATCTATGTCACTAATTTTTGCTACCCTCCAAATAGCTTCAGATGGATTCCTCAATAATTCACTGCAAATACGTGTATTTTCACTTTTAGGAGTTAAACATGCAACTAGAGTTAAGCCTACTTACCAACCGTAAGGCTGAGGGCTTATAATTCTACAATTCGGGTTTCGATACCCGAGATGAGCAGATCATAGATAGCCCATGGTGTGGCCTTGTACTTAACAGTATAACAAACAGACTTACCCGCTGTAGCTTCAAATTACATTCTTCCAGGCAGAGATCTTGATAACGGGACGACACGCAAAAGAAGCAAAATGCCTGAAAACAGAAATTAATTTCAAATCAAACAAAATTAAACATGTTTATAAACTAGAAACAGGGATATCTCTTTAAGAACATGCTCATAATATTGGTAGTAATTAAATCAACATTGTATACTCTTTGTTTTCTGGCGGTTTTTGTTTAATCCATTCGTATCTCACTTGCAGGTCCTCACATAGTACAAATTGATTGCACTCACGGATATTTATAAACATTGAGCTAAAGCGTGAAACTATATTGAAATATTAAATTTTTATTCTAAAAATCATCCCTAATTCTCACTGTGTAACATAACATTTTATTCTTCACTAATATCGTCAAAGCTTAAAGTGGCAGCTTAAATTCCTTTTATAAACTTCCTATAAACATATTGAGATGTAGTGTTTGAGGGGAAAATAATGACATATTAATGGCTATAATGAACTAAGATAATTATACTAATTTAATCTCTACAGTGAAAATCGGATTAAAGTTTTCAGCTTGGTTTTCTATAATGTTTGTCATTGAATTTTTGTTCTTCCCGCCATTGACGGATTAGGTTCAGATTTCAATCAGATTAATACTGGAGGTTACGGTTTAGCTACGTTATATTCACGTGCACTTCAAGAAGCATTTGGAGAAACCGAACAGGTCTTCACGTTTGATTTATTTATTTATAATGGACGTTCAAAATGACTAACGAAAACTGTTGAAAAATGTAAAATCTGCAAAAATACTAACGTGTTGACTGACGTAGAAACGGAATGTTAACTAGGTAACTTTTTAGACGTAGGTCAACTTTTAAAATCTCTCTAGGCTAAATTACGATAATACATTTTTCGAAAATAAGAATACTTTCTGTGTACTAAGTAATATTGATAACGTAATATTACTCTATCTGGAAGTAATGTTCTACGTCTGTTTCAGTAGTTCTAGAACATTTGTTGTTTGTAATAACAAATGTTGATTTCATAATATTACGCTATCTGGAAGTAATGTTCTACGTCTGTTTCAGTAGTTCTAGAACAGGGATTTAATATATCCAAGTTTTCACTAGCCTACAATTTAAAAAGCTTTCACTGTTCTTTGAATTTTAATGTTTCTGATATGCGTCTGTCGACTCTAATAGGATCAAAACTGCCTTTCCCCCCTTTTACACATCACACGTTAAGTGTATTGTTAACATGTAAACATAAACAGCTTCCAGAAGCCGTTGGTTGAGGAAAGATATTCTATAGTGCTCTCTAGAAGATAAGATGATTTCAAGAGTATAAGTAAAGGAAGGAACAGGATAAACATTCATTATTGATTGTAATTGTTTGATTAATGGTATTTTAACTAGTTCATCGCGCGTAGCTTATTTCCTGTTTAAATTCTTAATGCGTTGAAACTTAACCTTTCGGATAGAAGTTTTAACGTGTGTAAACATATGAGGGATATTCTAACCGTTTGATTAAACTTTATTTTAAATCTTTGTATAAGTTGATTAAGAGTTATTCCATTGAAGTTTCTTTCCTGATCACTTAGTTGTCATAGAATTTACCTAGTGAACTTCTAGAGATTTTGTTCATTTGTACATTAAAATTTCTTATTCAAACTTTGATATTTCAATATCTCCTGATTCTTTTGCTTGACTCGATTCCTTGGATCGTGGTGCCATCTACTGGCAGAATAACAAACAATTTCTACAATTAACATGTTAAAATTCTTTCTTACATTGGTATTTTCTGATGTTCCATACTTTTTCATTTAATAACATTCGCCAGGTACAATATCTGTCCTTATCAAACGTCTTCTAGGAGCTGTTTATGTTTACATGCTGTACAATATCTGTCCTCAACAAATGGCTTCTAGGAGCTGTTTATGTTTACATGCTGTAAAATATCTGTCCTTATCAAACGTCTTCTAGGAGCCGTTTATGTTTACATGCTGTAAAATATCTGTCCTCAACAAATGGCTTCTAGGAGCTGTTTATGTTTACATGCTGTACAATATCTGTCCTCATCAAACGTCTTCTAGGAGCTGTTTATGTTTACATGCTGTACAATATATGTCCTCAACAAATGGCTTCTAGGAGCTGTTTATGTTTACATGCTGTACAATATCTGTCCTTATCAAACGTCTTCTAGGAGCTGTTTTTGTTTACATACTGTACAGTATCTGTCCAGAACAAACGTATTCTAGGAGCTGTTTATGTTTACATGCTGTACAATATATGTCTAGAACAAACGTCTTCTAGGAGCTGTTTACGTTCACATGCTTTAAAATATCTGTCCTCATCAAACGGCTTCTAGGAGCTGTTTTTGTTTACATGTTGTACAATATCTGTCTAGAACAAACGTCTTCAAGGAGCTGTTTATGTTTACATGCTGTACAATATCTGTCCTTATCAAACGTCTTCTAGGAGCTGTTTATATTTACATACTATACAGTATCTGTCCAGAACAAACGTCTTCTAGGAGCTGTTTACGTTCACATGCTTTAAAATATCTGTCCTCATCAAATGGCTTCTAGGAGCTGTTTTTGTTTACATGTTGTACAATATCTGTCTAGAACAAACGTCTTCTAGGAGCTGTTTACGTTCACATGCTGTACAGTATCTGTCCTCATCAAACGGCTTGTAGGAGCTGTTTATGTTTACATACTGTACAATATATGTCTAGAACAAACGTCTTCTAGGAGCTGTTTACGTTCACATGCTTTAAAATATCTGTCCTCAACAAACGCTTTCTAGGAACTGTTTACGTTCACATACTTATAAATTAAACGTTGTACAATTTTCTGTGACCAACTTGAAATTTGTTTGTTTTACTTTCAATAGGTGTTTCTAAAATATTAAAATTACTAACGTTATTCATACAAAATACACATTTTGTACTTAAATGCTTCATAGTAGCTCAGAAGAATTCTGAAATTTACTGAATTACCTCGAATTTTAAAATATATATATATTAGTTATTTATGTGCGTTTGTGTTCAAATTGGAGTTATTCTGAAAGTACTTTACTGTACTTGAAAAATAAAAAATTACATTAAAAAAAAATACAACTTTATATAAAATTATCCAGACAAAAACAATCGGACATAAACCCTGATGTTAATGGCAATTATTACCCCTTTTTTTCAACTAATAAACTACATTTTTAAAGACATCTAATAATTTTATTCTATACCATTATTTTGAGGGATCATTAAGGTACTCCATAGTACTAATTAAAACAAATCATTAATGGATTTATTCAAACTGTATTATTGATTTCTGGAAACTAGAAGCGGTACATGAAGTATCACATACGTTAATGCTTTAATAAAATTGTATTTCAATCAATACACAATAACTTAATTGTTAAAACACTGTTACAGGAATGTATAAACTCACGTTTAAAGAACAGATGAAAACATCGATGAGAAAGATCACTCCTAAGTAAGGGATATAGTTCTAAAAAAAAATGTAATAAGAATTGAGTTTTTCCATAACAGAAAGACACAATACGAAAAACAAAAATATTACTTTGGTATAACGTTAAAAAAACATTAAGTAACCATTGAGTTTACTTACTGATTATAAGTATTATTTTGTTACAATTTACAGCTTTTACAGTAAGGAAGAATAATCTTTTTAAAACAGGTACGACGTTTCGATCACTTACAACGTTAAAATCCGAGGTTCGATTCCTCTCGGTGAACCCAGCAGATAGTCCAAAGTAGCTTTGTTTTAAAATAGCCCCCCCCCCCCAGTGGTACAGCGATATGTCTGCAGAATTACAACGCTAGAATCCGGGTTTCGATACCCGTAGTGGGCAGAGCACAGATAACCCACTGTGTAGCTTTGTGCTTAATTATAAACAAACAAGCAAACTTTAAAATAAAAAAACAAATAAATAAATCACTGGTGCGATCTTTCTTAATTTAATAAGTTTTAACGGTAAAGAATTCTATCAATTCTAAGATGTATTCTATCAATAAATTTAAATTCTACCAATTCTAAAATTTAAATTCATTTTTAGATTGTTGAAAGTTGACTTAAATACTAAAAATCTTCTTTTCCGTTAAAAATTGTGTGCTTGAGAATGATCGCACCGGTGATCGAAACGTCGTACGTGTTTTAAAAACAAATCTTACTTACTCTAAAAGTTTTAGCTTGTTAAAAAAAAACAAAAAAACACATTGTTAGAACAACTTGAAGAACATCTAACCAAGACAACGTACTCAAAATATGTTGCAGTTATGTATAAATGTCTAAACATTTTACCAATTTTTTGCTTCAGTAGAAAAGACAACAATTGAAATAAGCTATACACAGTTGTTTGAAAAACAAGCCGTCGAAAAACGTCTTATAACAGAATTGCAAAAACTGATCTTGTTTCACAAAGCTTTGAGTACAGTAGTCTAAACTTTAAATATTCTAAATACAAAATATAAGGATTATGTAATTACTTTCTAAATGAAACGGAAGCGAAGAGTTTTCCAATACAAATCTTTGTTTTTCCTTATAAGCACAATTGATGCTATATAAATAAACGATTTTACATGTGTAAGAAAATCAGTCCGATCTGATAGGTAGTGGTCAACCTCATAAAGTCGTAATACTTCAAATTAGTAATGTGACGAGTTTTTTGTTTTTTTTTTTAATTATGCACAAAGCTACACAAGGGCTATCTGTGCTCTGCCCACCACGGGTATCGAAACCCGGTTTCTAGCGTTGTAAGTCCGCAGACATACCGCTGTGCCACTGGGGGGCAGAAATGAAAGTATGGAAAACAATGTTAATTGTTTACTAGGCTTAACGTATTGATGCTGGCTTTCAATATTGAAATACATGTGGCTCCCTTTTCAGCTTTTGTGGGTTTTTCTCGTAGAGATTTATCTAGCCTAAATAATCTACACATTTATTCTGAGACCAAGACACGTTTCTAGGATTATTAAATAATGAATACGATTTAATCTTATCGATTTATTCGGCTAGATCTGTATAGAATGTGAATTAGTGCATGAAAATCTCGTATGGTGGAAATGAATAGCCACACGCATTTTCTCGCTTGGATGACGAATCAATTCCACGAATGAAGCGGTTCCTATCATTAAATAAAGTATTCGCACTTCGCTTGTTTGATCGTCACTCGAGAGGCCTAAAAATTCAATTATAATCTAACAAAGAACTTCTGAAATTCTCAACCACTTCCATCTCTTAAGCCTTTTTTAAACTTAGTCTTATAACGAGATCAGCAGATTTGGTTTATTTCGGATATGCGTGCGAAGCTACACAAGGGTTATCTGCGCTAGCCTAAGCTACTTTGTTTCATTGAGTGTAATTAACTTTAGTAAACCTTTCAGCCGTAGGGGCGTTAAAATGTGACGGTCCATCCCAATATTCGTTGGTAAATGATTAGCCCAAGAGTTGGCGTTGGGTGGTGATGACTACCTGCCTTCCCTCTAGTCTTGCACTGCTAAATTAGGGACGGCTAGCGCAGATAGCCCTCGTGCAGCTTTGCGCGAAATTCAAAACAAACAAAAACAAATCTTTTCAAGATATTTAAAGTAATCGAGAATCACACGAAAAAGTGTTTTTATGCCAATAAAGTGCTATTTTATAAGCGTATGAAATATTATGACCCTCATTTCTTATTTGTTATGAAATTATGCTTTACAGGACGAAAAAGCTCAATATCCTTTTAATCTCTTTTTTTTTCTGCGGGAGTTTGTTTGGGTTATCTGCTATGTTCAATGCAGGGAATCGAACCCCGAATTTCTGCGTTATAAGTCCGTGAATTTACCGCTGAAAGGCCTGGCTCGACTCACAATTAGAGGGTTGCGGGTTCGAATCCCTGTCACCGAACATGCTCGGTCTTTCAGCCTTGGGGATATTATAATGTGACAGTCGATCCCACTATTCTTTGGTTAAAGAGTAGCCTCAGAGTTAGCGGTGGGTGGTATTGACTAGCTGCCTTACCTCTAGTCTATCACTTTTAAATTAGGGACGGCTAGCATAGGTAGCCCTCAAATTGCTTTGCGCGAAATTCGTAAACTAACTTACCGCCGATCCATGCACCGGAGGACTTTTTCTGTACAATATTCTTCCTTAAGTTTTGACGGTTTATAACGCTAAAAATTAGAGTTCGATACCTACAGTGTGCAAAGCCGAGATAGCCAAGTTGTGTAGGTTTGCTCTTAACAACACCCTAATCATGTTTCCATTCGTTCAACGCCAGTATCTGTTTTATTGTGGTATAGTGACAGGTGTAACATGTATCAATAAATATTAACCATACGCTAATATATATCTAATGTATAGCATGATAATTGCAGTATAAAGTGTGAGAAAAACGATTGGTTATAAGTGAAAGTTAAATCCAGTTCTCCAAAACTTCTTAGTTACAAATAAAAATATGACTCAATATTCCCTTTCAGCAAATCTATAAAAAAAAAATTCACGAAACCTCGGTTCCTGATAATGAACTTGTGTTTAAAAATTGAAACCCTTTTTGAGTTAAGTCTTTTCAGTTGTCTTCTCTTCACCTACAAGCTACTAAAAATTACATTTTTCTATACAAA